TTCGGTTTGGTTCGGTTTCTTTACTTCGATTTCAGTTCATTTTTTTTCTCGGCTTCGGTTCGGTTTTAGGTTTTTTGAACCTACCCCTATTGGTGGGTGTCATTTGAAACAGTAACGGGGACTTTGTAGGTGGTTTTATCTATCGTCTACATCACATCTTCCCTCCAGCTTTGATCGAGTGTCTTGTTCCCAGAGAAGGTGCTTGTAGAGCCGTGGAGCTTCAAGCCAACCAAGTTCTTGAATGTGACTCTCTGCAAGAGCGAAAAGTCGTAAGTAGCAGCCGCCAAGATGCCTTAATTGACGGCATCGAATTTTACTTGAGTTCACTTTCAAATTTCTGCATTACACATGACCGACGCTCAATGTCACAGTGTATAAATTGGCCAAATTAACTTTGTACTTTCAACTCGAATCATTTTGTTTTGAAGAACCTCCATATCTCATATGTGACCTCTTGGAAAATTGTAAGGCTTAATTATCAATAAAACACTATCGTTTCTCCTCAAAAACATAATATTCAAAATCTAATAATCCAAAAGTCTAGAATATGTAATTTAGAACACCATAAAATTTTCGTAGTGTTTTGTGTGTGTAGCTTTGGCTCATTCTTCAACTGGTGGAAACTGCCACTAAATATCACCAACCACAATGACTCGGTCGGTCGGTCCAATACCTTTTACGCTTTTATTATGTTTATACCAAGACTCCATGAGTATATGCTTGCTAGTTAATTACACTGTGACACGTTTTAGTGGGCCTAAATGATTTTCCTTGTTGCATGGTTTACTTTTTTAAGAGTTAATGCTGCTCCCTTCCTAAGAATTCGGATCTTCGTCGGATCCTCTATGTGAATATTCTAGATATTCGTGAATTGTGTTCTTTCATCGTATATCGTATGGTAAGAAATTATTTTAATATTTTTATTTAAAATTAAACACAAACAGTACTTGATAAAAACTAATTGCACGATATACAATGAACGGACACTATTCACGGATTCCTAAGATCCTCACCAAAAGGATTCGGAGAGGATCTTGTTGGCCTTCTTGTGGGACTACATTGATTGATTTTCAATTTCAGGAATCATCTTGATGGTGAGGGTCAATTATAGGGACCATTTAAAAACCCAAAAATATATATTGTGATGCTAATGACTCAAATCTCTCTTCTTCTTTTTTTAACAAAATAGTTTAGTGGGAGATTGGCTATGCTCATCACCAGTGTCAAAGCGTACGCACAACCTCAAGCTCCAGCTTGAGAGATTTATGTGTGACAGCTGACAATTAGGTATTGCCCATGTCCTACGCATGGATTCAAATCATGTTGGTTCTTTAATCTAACATCTAATCTAACAAATCTATTGTTTGACAAAATAAAAATTATCAGCAGCCACCAATATGAAATTATGTAAGAGTTTATACAGAAAGCACTAACAAGTTCTTCTACCAACAGCGAAGCTAGAACTTGGATTAGAAATTGACCACAGGCACGCCTTACCCACTAAGCCAACTGTCGTTGGCCAAATCTCAGTTGTTTCAGAAGAAATATTAGACCCAAAAAAAAAATTAAAAAAAAAAATTAAAAAAAAAATTAAGAAGAAGAAAGAGAAGAAATAGCGGACAAGGATTCACTATTATCATTGGGATTACAAGCTACACTTATCCATTGCATGCTATAATTTGATTGCTCATTGGAATAAAAAAGATGGATTAAAAGTTAAGACAAATTGTGAGGAGTGTCATAATTTTTTCCATTTACTAGCAAAATGCAAATCTAAAACTGCTTCATCAACCAACGCGAGTCACATCGTGTTTGGTGCCACAAACTGATTTACTTTGCAGCAACACAAAGCATAATTATGAAACCTTTTCTTTTCTCGTACAACAAATGGTTTGCAATGCACATGTACAAAGCTAAAATTAGAATAGCAATGGCCACTGGTATTATGATTTGTTAGTATCTACCCCTCCACTTAACTTAAATTTTCTACTTCTTTAAATTGAATATCTACGGAAATTCAGTACATATACAGGGAGAGATTTTCGTATACTCAAACTACGAGCTGGGACTATCATAATACAAATAGAAAAACAATGAAAAATATGGGAATTGTTATTGGCACTTCAAAAATCTCATTCTACATTCTAAATTTTCTATATTTGGAAAAAAAAATACACTTGTATAGAGTGTAGTTAGAGATTTTGGAATGCCAATAACACTTTTCAAAAATATATTATAACACGTAAAAAGTGTATAACAACCACTCCTCCAGCTATGAAAAACAATAAAAAGAAAAAAGGAAAAAAAAAACACCAAAGCAACAGGCGCGTGGATGTAGCGACCGTAGAAAGCACCGACCGACATGCTAATTGCTAAAGCTCCTTGTAATGTAACAGTTGGTGCTGATTACCCAGGTAAAAGTAGGACATTCGCAAATATTTATTATCCGGTTAATACTTTAAATTAAATTTACAAATTAAATAATATTTTATTAATAAAAAATAAATATGTTAATTAACGTTTAAATAATATTCAATTATCAATAATCATATTACTTAATTTGTAAATTTAATTTAAAAATTTTGATCACTTTATCATTATGTTACTGTAACTACCCTGGCAAGCGTGCCGGGGTCATGTCACTGATCCTCCTCAGCTCGAGCTGGTTCGTACTTACTTAAATTTGGAAATGACTAGCTACCACCATTTTTGCTGTTAAGTATCAGAATGTAATAAATATATACCAGTAAAAGTACGTATAGCTCCAATGGTGCCATCTAAAATTAATGACCACGGCTTTTGGAGTTTTAGAATAAGCGATTAAATGTGTTTATCTTTTTATTTGCTCCGAGGCGTTTAGTCTTCCCAACACTAGGCTTGCTAGAATTTTTAGTATGCACAAAATATGATAGTAACAAAATACTAAAAATTTCCTCAAAACTTCTTGTTTAGTGCTAGTAAACATTAGAATTCTGGGTAAAAATGTATTTGTATCAAGACAAATACTATGTTCTTTTTGTGATGCCGTTCTCTTCCAAACGGCGGGGCATTGGGCTCAAATCGGGCATTGAAAGCCTAAATCTGTAATGCTTGGTAACACATGATCCCTATCACTTGGAGCATACTGTTCTAACAAACCTAACTCTTTTTTTTTACTTTATTATGCTTATGCCTCTCAAATCTCACCCATGTATTGTTAAAATGTGTGAGAAAAATTAAATCTAACATAAAATCAACGTTGATAGCATGCTAAGAAAGGTCACTTCTATTTTTAAGGGGATAAGTTTGCTCAATTTACAAGCTTGAATTACATGGGTTAAGCAAATGTATCAATGATAAAAAAATCAAACTAAATCACAGATGGTCATGCTAGCTAAAGTAATGTTTTTATGTAATGTTTTCAATTGATTATTGTTGATATGAAAAATAAAAAATTGAAAAAAAAAATTCTCTTTAAAGAATAAAGGAAAAAGAAAAGGGGGAATCATTAACAAATGAAAAAAAAAAAAAAAAAAAAGGAACTAGGAGAGGAACAAAGGTATGGGAAAAAAGGGAAATTTCAAGTCTTCAAGTTAAAGAAAACTTGGTATACCAAAAAAATTGAATTTTATTCAGATTAAGACATGCAATGTGGCTTCAACAAAGTTTTCAAATGACCAAAAATGATCGCCCATAAATTTTAAACTAACGCCATGTTACACAATCAATTTGGTCTTGAAACTAACAAATCCATAATGGCCTTGCAATGAATACAACACTCACACTGACTATACATATATAAACATACATAAAAAATTAAAGAAAAACCCTTTAAAAACATGGCATGGGAGGAGTTTAATTGCCCAATCCAGAAAGTGGTAAAAAGAAAAGTTTCCTACTGAAATGGGCAAGGATTGCATGTTACTTGTCCCTCTTTACCCATTCATGATCACACTTTATAAGTTTTTTGGCACACTAAAACAAAATTAATGAGTGTTGAAGTCCTAAATTAATTAGGAATATGATTATGTAAATCTCAATATGATTCTATAATATCTTTTAGATAGTTTTCTAGTTGTAATATATTACTTAAAAGGTAAAGATTCTCTCTTCCTTATTACTATAAATATATATTGTGATGCTAATGACTCAAATCTCTCTTCTCCCTCTCCTTATCGCTGCCCCCTCTCTCTACTTTTCCTCAGTAAAATAGGCCTACAACACGTTATCAGCACGCTCTCATTGATGTGTTAAGAAACTAAAGGTTTTTGGAGGAGGTTCTTCTACAACTAGCATTCAAAGGCTTTTGTAGTTTCACCCTTCTAAAACACAAAATTGAGTTCATAAGTCTTGATAGAATGAAAACATTCACCATAGTGCATGAACTCTCAATTTATTTATGCTTTATATATTGCCCTGTACTGCATGTATTGTTCAATACACACACACACATAATAATCTATTTTGGTATTATTCGATATTGCTATGTTGAATTGTGTGAACAATAAACAACAAGAAAATATGAGCAAATTAGGTTTTTTTTTCAAAACCCTAATTGCAAGCCGCCATAGCCTAGAGCTGCCGCCTGCAACAACGCTAGCCCCGAGCCTAGCCTGCAGCTCTAAAACGACATTATTTTGGCTCAAGACTTCTGCTCGTGGCGTGGAAAGGTTAAAGGTATTAAAGATAGGATTAAATCACTAAATCATATCGTTAATACATTCTTAATTGAAAATAAATTTCATCAAATCACAATCAATTAATCATGAATACTTCCATCATTATCCCAATATCCCATCTCCAAAGAATCACCATAGAATCAATTGAAAATAAATTCTTACTACTATAAATAAAGGCGATAAAGATAAAAAATCATCACCATAAAATCGCTAAATTTTATCTTCTCCCTCCCCTACCAACGGCCCCATCCCTATTTTTCTTTAGTAAAATAGGCCTACAATTATCATCAATTCTTTTATTATTTTAAACTTCACAACTGTTTTTTCATATTTTCTTATGTGTTTTTAAAAAAAATTGGTATATAATTTCTGGTTGTGCGTGTCTTTTGGTGAAGGTATGCTTGTCACCTACTCCTCTTAAGTTCTCAATCTCTCTCTAATGCTACTTGTATTCTCCAAAAAGTAGAGAGAGGGCCTCAAAGCTCCGTTCTTAGCTCTGCTCTGCTGTGTACTGTGCCAATGGAGAGGCACAGATGCAAGCTCTGCTCTAGGGCTTTTGCTAATGGCAGAGCACTGGGTGGTCATATGAAGGCTCACTTGGCAACTTTTCCTCTTCCCCCTAAAACTTACCAAATCACTGAGTCCGACTCGTCTTCATCTTCCTCCTCCGGCGAGGAACCAGAAAAAGAACAACATTTGCAAGAAGAACAAGGAGAGGAAAAGGGTTTGACTTATGGGCTGAGAGAGAACCCAAAGAGGAGTTTCCGGCTTGCGGATCCTGAGTTTTCTTTTGTTGATGCTGGGTCGGTGATTCAAGACAGAGAGAGTGAGACCGAGTCAAGAAACCCAACTCGGAGACGATCCAAGCGGAATCGAAGATCATTCGTTGTTATTACAGATAATCTGCAGAGCCAGAAATTGGAGTTGAAGAAAAAACCCAAGTTGACAATTTCAACACCGCCGCGTTTGGCCGAGTCTCCTACTCTAGCGGCAGAGCTTGAGCCGGTGAGCTCGGTCTCCGATACTTCTCCGGAAGAAGATGTTGCTATGTGCCTTATGATGCTGTCAAGAGATGTGTGGATGATAAGATTACATGATCATCAGCAAGCAGATCAATCGGTTCAAGTTCAAGAACATAGTAGGCAAGTAGTGGAGGAGCTGGAGGGGGTCAAATCGAAGAAACTTCGAGGGAAGAATCGGTGTGAGAAATGCAACAAACTGTTTCGATCTTTTCAAGCAATGTGCGGCCACAAAAAGATTTGCTTTCGGAACGAGGAGGAAGCAATCAACAATGCAGGTGGTGAGAAGCTGTTTGAGTGCCCCTTTTGCTACAAAATATTTGGTTCCGGTCAAGCTCTTGGCGGTCACAAAAGATCTCACCTTTCGGGTTCTTCAAGATCAATGGTTGTATCAATGGCTGCAAAAACTGAAGCTAAAGAGGGTTTCATAGATCTCAACCTGCCTGCTCCGGAAGAAGATGATGAATTTAGCGTGCTATCGGATGCATAAAAATGTAAAAAGTAACAGACTTCTCCATCAAAACTCGGATCCAAAGGTAAAAGAAATTCGATTATCCGAGCAACATTTAGATCAAATGGGTGAAGATTGAAACACTTTTTCGATAGTTTTCACTCATATATCAATCGATTCGCTCTTTCTTTTCCGTATTGGGACCATTATTCATTTTTGTTTATGCAGTTTCAAGTTTCAACAACTGTTTGGTCGAGTTCCAACTGCAGTAACAACTTGTTATATGTATTGCTGTTGACTAGAATACAGAAAGTTGAATTGTTCATTTTTTTCTTTTTATTTCTTTTATTATTATAGCAAAATTCAAGTAATGTTGGGTTTTACTTGCAATGTCAAGTGGTGTTCGTTTACTTGCCTTTTAACTCATTTAGTAATGCGATACTTGTTGAGAAATTACAGAATCTCGTAAACAATCGAAACTATTATTCTAGTTGTTGTTGGGTTGTCAATGTGCTCTTCTGCTTCAGCTTGAGGTCCAGTTTTCCAGTAATTCTTGCAAATTGTCATATCTCATAAAAATGGACTAGGATCCTATCCTCCTTGTGAGGAGTTTAGGAATCGATTCATTTTAGTCATTCATCGTATATTGTACGATCATCTTTCGTTAGTTATTGTTTGTGTTCAATTTTAAATAAAATAATTTAAAATAATTTTTGTCCTAGGATGGCTGATTAACAGCTAGATTGAACTGATCCCTAGATCATCATCCTATTCCTTTAAATATAGAGTAAATTGTAACAATGGTCCCTCAACTTTAATTAAATTGGAGCAAATGTCCCTCAACTAAAAATTCGTTACCATTGATCCTTCAACTCATCAAAATGTGTAGCTATGATCATTTTCATCAATTTTGTCAAAATTTTGACAAAATGAGTTATGCTGGAACGATCATTGCTACAATTAGGATTCCTTAACTTATCAAAATGTGTAGCTATGATCATTTTCGTTAACTTCGTCAGAAATTTGTCAAAACGAGTTATGTTGGAATGATCATTGTTACAATTGGGTTAAAGTTGAGGGACCATTGCTCAAATTGGGTTAAAGTTAAGGGATCATTGCTCAAATTGGGTTAAAGTTAAAGGAACATTTCTCCAGTTGGATTAAATTTGAGGGACCATTGATAATGAATTTTTAGTTGAGAGATCATAGCTGCATGTTTTGATAAGTTGAGAGATCAATAGTAATAGATTTTTAGTTAAATGACTTTTACTTTAATTGAGTTAAAATTAAAAGAATATTGCTACAATTTACTTTTAAAAATAAGATAAAATAAAATGTAAAAAGTGTTCTATGATTGTTTTGTTTGTCCCATCTGCTCTCTCTCTCTCTCTCTCT